TCTACCACTTCTCAATAACATACAACGCTCCTCGAAAAGATGAGATTCTTTTCAGAAATCAACACACAGTCCCACCAGGTGTGCCAATTTGTTTACCTTGGTTTTTGGTAAACAACCGCTGATCCTCCAAATGGTTACTTATTTGGTTACTCGCAGGATCGATCAGATTGATCCTAGGACATAGGTTGATTTTTGAAGTTTTGGTTAAATTGGATAATAGTTAAATGACTAGAAAATAAAGAGGCTTTAAATAAATTGCATGAAGAGATAAACTTGGTAAAATAAATGAAGGCTTGAAGTAAAGGAAGGCTTAAAATAAAAGGGCTTCGACAGGAATGTAAAGAGGAAAGCAAGTAAATTTCTGGAAAAGTAAATGACTTTGATTAATAAAGTTGGTGTTTCACACATACATTTCTCAACAATTCTTTCTCACACGCTGGGTACTCGAATCTATATGAGTGACTTTGTATAGAATTGTGAACACCCGCGAGAAACTACATGACTACTACTATTTATACTAAAACATCCCAAGTAACCGTCGGGCAGTTACACTGCTTCGAGATGATTCCACTTGGCACGTTCTCAGCGTTCGACGCTCCAGATCTTTGCACGTTGCACTTGGTAACCGCTGGAAACCGTTTTCCCTCCAAACGCTTGAATTTCAAACTGCTCCACTCTGAACCATCGAACACCTTCGTCGAAAAACATCTTCGACGAGAAACTCCTTCGACGTCGAAGGCAACCAACTTCTCCCTTTGGAAGAAATCTTCCAAGTACCTTGCCATCTTTCGATGGGTATTTCGACGGACATAGCTGGTCGAAAGCATCCTTCAGCTTCAATGGCTGACATTAATATTACAAGGGTGTCGAATTTAGGAGCCAACAGATACCTCATGGTAAACACTCATTCATCATACAACGTGATTATTTTATCGTTTTTGCATTCAATGTCTTAGAAAAGGACTTGTCCATGCTCTACCTCCCCGTAAAATACCCCTTAGACAATGAGCAGGTAATGATCATGAAAAAAGATTATGAAGTAGCTAGAAAATTATATCAAGATAGACTTAGAATAAAGAAGGTTGTAATAACCAGAAACCCTCCACCCACACCAAGCACCCTTAGTGTTAGTGGTGCCTATTAAAGATGTTAAGAAAGTCCAAATCGAACCTAAAAGCTTCCAAACCACAAAGTTAGACACCTCCATAAAGGAGAATAAAGAAGAAGAATTAGTTTCCTTACTCTATAGGAATGTGGATATATTTGCACGTATCCCCTATGACATGCCTAAAATAAATGCAAAAACCAATAGTCATCGCCTCTCCCTAAACACTTCCATCAAGCCAAAAGAATCAAAAAGTGGGAGAGGAGATAAGAATAGTTATTCATGATGGAGTGAAGAAGATGAAAGAGGCACGATTTATAAACAAGGTTACGTATCCCACGTGGTTGGACATCATCATGATACTCAAAAGTCCTCGAGCATGTGAAGCATGTGCGAAGATTTTACTAAACTTAACATATCATGTCCTAAGGACCCGTACCCTCTACTAACATGGATATGATGATTGATAGAGCTTCCATCTAAAAAGTTATCAATTTTATGGATGTGTACTCAATGTACAACTAAATTAATATTAACCCTCTGAATGTGCCCAAGATAATCTTTATGACCAACAATTGCCACTATTATTACAAGGTGATTCCCTTTGGTCTCAAGAATATCAGCGCCCCCTATAAGGTGTTAATGGATGCAATGGTTGTAGAGAAGATTAAGAGAAACTTGGAGGCATTCATAGACAATATGGTGGTGAAAATGTTTAATGAGAAGAACCATTGTAATAATCTAGAGGACATCCTACGATATGTTAGGGGGTATAACATGTGCTTGAATCCGACCACGTGTTCCTTTGGGGTCAAAGTGGAGAATTTATGGGGTTTCATGTTAAAAAGAAGAGGAATTAAAGCTAACCCAAACAAATGTCAATCTATAATTAACATGTGAAGCCTAATGTTTGTCAAGAATCACAACATTTGTATAGGAGATCAACCTAACTTGGTGTCATGATAGTTAGGCCATAGTCAAATGTTGCCTTTTTCTTTGTTCTACCGCCAAGTCGACATTGTCTGGGTTGGTAGACAACTCACTTCTAAGGAACATCAGGCTTACCTCAAATTTCATCGGGCAACCCAAACTCTTCGGACTTCCAATTTTATATGTTATGATCGCCTTACTCGAGTTCAAGTTCTCTTAGTTAATTTTCCTTTTTTTTCTTTCTTTTTTGTTTCATCTTCTTCAACAAAATTTCTTGTTAGAAAATAGTTTTGATGCATGTTTGAGGTGTGAAACATGTTAATTGATGTGTGTTTATTTGTTAAACTTTCAAATTTCTTTGAAACATTCTGATATCAAGTGTTAATTTTTATATTTGATAGTGAACTTATTTCATAATACAGTGAAAATTATGTAACTGCTTAATATGGATTAAGTGTAATTTGTAATTTGTTTGAAAAATAAAATAAAATAAATTACATGAAATATATTATTTTAAAAAATATATTATTTCATGATGCAGTGGAAATTATATAATTATTTTGTATGAATTAAGTACAATTTATAATTTATTTGAAAAATAAAATAAAATAAATTACATGAAATAAATTATTTAAAAAATAATAACATAAAATATATCAGAAAAATATAATAATAAAAAATATACTGATAAATATAATATTTGAAAAAATATTGTAAGCCAATCAATTAAACTAAATCAAACCAATTAGTTTGATTTAACTTTTTTTTGAAAAATATTAAAATCCAAATCAAACAAAACCTATAAAAATATCATCGTTTCAAATATTTTTTCTAATAAATCCAAACTGATTTCATTACTCTCCTATTCACATTTAATTTTAAAACATTTATCTAAAATGTATCGGATATTATATTTTAATAATTTTAAAATATTAAATTTATGAATATCTACATTTTAAAGGAAATTCATACTTATATTTTATGTACCAATCAATTTTTCTTCTCCTCAATCAATTTTTTTCTTGACCGAAATGATTATTTAGTTAAAAATAATCTTTTCCTATCTATGCATAGCAAGTGATATTCAAAGTCTACTGGTATAAAATTAGTAGAAGATTTTGTTTTATTATTTGTTAGTGATCCCTAAAAAGGTGAAATAACTTTGTGTATATATCAATCACAATCATTCCATTTAGTATTTGTCTTGAATTAAAATAAATTTATGATCATTTCATTTTGTAATTGTCATGAATTAAATATTTTTTTTCTACTAACAAAGGAACAAAATTTTAAAATCTTATATAGTTATAGCATATATAAGGAATTTTCTGGAAAAGCAAAAATCACAAGGATTTCTTTACATTTTAAAACATCAACAATATTTTAAAAATAAATGTAATTGATTTATACAGTTTGATAGTGTAAAACTCATACCAATTATAATTTATAGTTGATTGAGCGCTTAAAATTGTGCATCAAAATGAATTCATTTTAGATGTTTAATGATATTTAATAATTTTGTATTATTAAATAAATCGTATTGTATTCCTCTTTTCATTATTTTTATAAAAATATATACTTATTTTTGGTTTTAGTTAAATGTTATTTATTTATTTATTTATTTATTTAGACTCAATTAAATTTTATTTCTTATCTCGTCTATTTTATATAATTTATATTTGACCTCTTACTTTTATTTTTATGTTTATTGAAGGTGGGTTTGTGGTATTTTCCATTCGACCGTTTCCCAATATTCCGGTACGTGGCAACATGTAACCTTATTAGACAAACCCAACGCCTCGTCTTTTCATCGTTTTTATAAGTCTCCATCTCACAAACCGTTAGATCTAATCCCTAACCATAACTTAACCCCACAACCCAACTTTTCTACGCAATTCATTAAATCTAACCAACTAACTAACCCTCACTTAACCATGGTTAAGTTAACAAACATACACGAAACTTGATTATGTCGAAAACACCCTAGCTCTTCCAATTAATCACTCTTTCGCCTCTTTCTTTACAATCTATTTAACCAGCCTCCGAGACTCGCTAGGTTTGCCAAATCAATTACCCAAAGGGGTCCTTAACAGGACTCAACCCTAACCCTAGCAGCCTCTCTATTCTTTCTCTCTCTCTCTCAAATAACAAAAATGTCTTCTTCATCTTCTAGAGAAAAACCCTGTGGCCCTGTTCTTCGTTCACTTTCACCTTCTGGGAGATTCTGTTCCTATACACAATCCAGAACCCCTTTCTCTACACCCTCATCAGCTTTCGCTTCTTCCCTAAGCTCTTCCTTTTCATCATCACCCTCTTCCTCTTTCCACATCGAAAACAATGATAATCACTACAATTATCACCATCACAATTATCAACATAACAGTCACCACCGTTCAGCTTCACCTACACGTGTGAACCTATACTCCCAAAACTCTCGCTCGGCCGGTTTACGATTCTCGATCGATCCCCGGTCTATCTCACCCAACCGGTCGATTTCGAATCATGTTATCACAACCAAAAAGAACCGTCCAATTCCGGCTCAGAAAAAGACGTGTATGTGTTCTCCAACAAATCATCCCGGTTCTTTCAGATGCAGTCTTCACAAGAATATCGGTAGTCACAACACAAGCGCCGATTCGTATCCTTCCACTCGGCTCAACATGCGTAGATCTGCGATGAAGAACTCTCTCGTGAGGATCGGTGGTGTGGAAGGAGAATGGGTGAAAAGAGCTTTAACAGCGTTGATTCGACCTTCTTCGCATCAACAGAGGAGGAGATCGGCGTTCGAACCCAGACCTAGTCGTCTCTCCGTCATGAGCAAGGCTGAAGATCTTTGATGTTACCTGTTTTTCATTTTTCAGGTTTGATCTTGTTTATCACGCTTTTGCGGTGGTTGATCTGCCGCCAGATCGGTTTTTTCCGGCGTGATGTTAGGTAAAAGCGTGTCATCTCCGGCAGCATATCGATGAATCAGAAATCGGAGAAAAGCGTTGAAGAAATTTTGAATAGATCTGTTGAGATTTGATTTGGACTCATCATCATCACTATTGCATTTTGTACATAATATTTGCTATGGAAGCTGAGAATATTGAACTGGACTTTTTGTTTATTTTTCAGTCACAAAATCGTTTCTTAAAAATTAAAATTTAATTAATTTATATAATTATTTTATTTCAGACGTAATTATTAATTTAATTAAATTCAAATTTGAATTGAAATCTAAAAATTGGTATTGTGTTATATCTCTATTGACAGTTGCATTTCTCCGTTATCCATTGCCATCCCGTTTCCGTTTGGGTTGATCCGTTGTGTTTGGACCGTTCCGTTCACTCGTTTGCCGTGACGTACGTTACGTTCAGTTGCGTTGCGTATGGTGTCAGGTATTTTTTTTCTTCTTTTTTTTTCTTATGTTAATTTACATTAATTATTATTTGGATTATTTAAATTCTTATAAATTTGTATTTATTGATTGATTTGTTTAATAATGTGTAATTGCAGAATGGTTGTTCAACTGGACCATGATGTGAAAGATGTGAAAGGAATTATTAAATTGGAAAATATTAATAAATTTGATGAGAGCTGGAAGAATTAATGGACATCTGTATACAACCTATGCTGGAAACCTATGCTGGAAGAAGCACCTTGTTTTGGACATAAAGAAAAATAAATATTATTGACTAAATAAATTAAAAGAGTTTGACCAAATAAAATAAAATAATTAACAATTAAGAGGAATAAAATTTAATTTAAAATAGAGTATTAGTACCAACTTGTTTAAAAAATATTTATGAAAACTCAATATTAGCCTCCAATGATGGTCCACACGGAAGAGAGAATCTTATTTACGAGACATTGTCCAATGCAAGATATGTGCTGTTTCTAAGAAATAAATACGTTCATATACTTGGAATGTGGATATCTTCAATCTTAATTTCGATTGGTCAAAAAAGTAGAAAAAGGTGAGAAACATAGACAAGTCACAAGGGTCGCTTATAACCGACGCAGTTTTGAATATTTTGGTACTAGTACTCTAGTAGTAGGCTAGTGGATTAGATTAGGGATAGAGCGCGCAAAGTGGTCCAGCTGGTTTACCTGATTTTATCGATATTCATACACGTGTCGTGTTCAGCAGAGCATATCATCTTTATCTTCATAAACAGCTTGTGGGTGGCATGTCAGAATTGTATCCTTACTTTTTACCTGATTTGTGGGCCATAAGTAACCGTTCTCATCCGGTACTTCTACACTCTTCGATAAGGCCATATAAACAATTACGCCTTTTGGCTTTTCTTCAACTACATTTTGGATTTGGGTTGTCGCACTAATTATATGGGGGTGTCATAACAGCCAAACACTTATTTGACCTTTATTACATGTGATACGCCATAGGGTTTAGAGGTGTTTATTCATAGAACTCAAACCTTCTTCTTTGCCGACTTGGTATTTGGTTTGTAGAACGTCGTGAGTTTCAACACTTAATCGAAATTACCGTACAAAACCCTATGATGTAATATCAAGTAATAGGGTTTAATGCCCTAGTATGGATTCATTCTTCCGAAGTTTTACAAAGGAATTTGAGGCTAACGGAGGTCTAATGCAAGCTTCTTTTTGTTATAGAAAGTTTCAAGCTATTCATGAAAAAAGTACTTGATATAAAACATTTCATCGGATACAAATTTGACGAAAGGAACGAAAGCTTTTTTTTTTGTTGTGTACAAGTGTCAGTTGTCAGTCTCACATTAGTTAGAATAGTGAAAATTGAGCAAGACTCAGGAAAAGAGATCTTAATCAAATCCTCGCAAGCATCCAATCGAAGACAAAATTTATGAATCTTGAAAAAGAGGAGGAGGAGACTATCGAAAGTATCTCCACATGGTCGTGGATAAGAGTCTCATATGTGAGTAGAGTGTCCAGTTGCAAGGTGTCAACGACGATACTGTTCGTGAGAGTTTCTCGCAAACAATCTCTAGTCTCTTGACGTGTTCAACTTTTGAATTTTCGACCACGTGTCTTTTAAGTGACGTCGCAAGTCATGATTACCACTTTCCGCGCCACTATTCCTCATGTCAATTCATCATTTCTCATAATGACTCCTAGATTTTAGGATATGGGATTTCAACAAACCTACTAACTTTTCCACTTCTAGACTTAGTGGCAATCATAATTAGCTCAAAATAACGCTACTTGTCCATTATTGACTGCCTTTGGTTGGGTCTGTAAATACCCTCTTACACTGGTTGTTTCTTCTTCTACTTCATATCCATTTTCTCAGTACTCTCTGTAAAAACAGTCACTCATTTTCTACAACCCTTTATTCCGAAACAAACACCGTTCCTCGTTCCTTCTTGTTTCTCACCATGGTTGAATCTCCTGCTACCGCACTGAATACTGATAACAACCCTCTAGCCTTCTGTTGGCTGAAGATTTTGATGATACAGTTCGAAATGAAGCAAGTTGGATGTTTCGTTGGAATAAAGCAAGATGTTACGGTTCAGAATGGTAGAAGCAGTTCTTCGAACGAACATGTCAAAGCTCGGAGCTTCGAGTGACAGTTGTGAAGATATATTTAAAAGAAGCCTCGAAGTGGTAACGAGACCGTGTCTAAGAAATGAGTTCGAAGCGAAGAGTGCCAAAGCATTTGAAATTCAAACGCAAGCGGGATGTTGGAAATTCAAATATATATGCGCTGGAGCGTTCGAAGACGCGTGGAAGCTAGAAAGGAGCAGTGCTCTGCATGTTCTGAACGTGGCAGAATCTTATAGGCAAGACCGTTATGGTCGAAGTAGTATAAATAAAAGTCTTAGTATTAGGATTTCGTGTGTCATATCTATTGTACAAAATTCAGTGAACATTCAAAATACCACATGGCTAGGGAAACGAATGCTCGAACAATGTACGTATGATAACACCAAACATTTATGATTCAGTAAAACTCTTTATCTTTTCCAGTTTACCTTCCATTTTCATGTCAATGTCATTCATATGCCTTTACCTTCAAAGTCATTTACTGATTTTTTGCATTTAAACGCTTTCCTTCTATTTCGAATCCTTTACATTTCAGAAACTCTTTTACATTTCATGCTTTTATATTCATGCTTTTTACATTAAAAACCTTTACCTTCAAAGTCATTTACTGATTTCTTGCATTTAAACGCTTTCCTTCTATTTCGAATCCTTTACATTTCAGAAACTCTTTTACATTTCATGCTTTTATATTCATGCTTTTTACATTAAAGTCTTTATATTTCAAAGTTACTTACTTGTTTCTGCACGTAAACATTTCTTTGCAATCGAATCTTTATTCATTCAATTCAGTTTCGTATGTCTTTACTTGATTATGTCATTAGATCCTTTTAATATGGTAATCGAAGTGAGTTGAACGCCTATAAAACATTCCAAATACAAATCCTAACTATGAATATCAGTTTTACAATTAGAGTTATCCAAACGACCAATACCCCATAGGATCAATCTAGTCGATCCTGCAAGTTACCAGAGAGATTAAATAACTGTCGTTAAGATTATTTGATAGTTTGGAGGACTAGCGGTTGTTTACCAGAAATCACTGTAAACAAATTGGCACGCCCAGTGGGACCGTCATTGGTCGTTACGGAATTTAGAACAAAGTAAAGATTGTTGGGACATAATCATTGTAAAAGTGCTTTCTGAGTGATAAGTTCGTTGTTATATGAACCTTAGAAGTGGTAGAATAACCAATAGCAACCAACCCTTACCCAGAAGAAAACGTTTAAACAAGATGTCTAATCCAGACAATCAACAAGGGGAACAAAATATCCCACATGGAACAGGCACTAATATGTCTGCTTCGACGGGAACGTCTAATGCGATCCCTTCGAACGCACAGTCTGTTGCATCTTCTACCAGTAGTGTAGCCACAAATGGAACAAGTGGCATGTCGACTAACAGTTCGATCCTAGGAAATACAGGAACCACTGGTTATCCTGGGGAATTCGTCCCACCATCAGGGACACAAACCCATTTCGCCACTCCACTAACGAGACCACCCAGTTTCGATGGTAACAGACACAGAAATCCCTCTTATGGGATGCCAACATCTTTTATGGCGGGTCTGCACACTTCGACATCGAATACGTCACCACAATTAGGGTCTGGGTCTGGGGCAAATCAATTTATGACAAATAACCAAGGGTCAGTAGGTTATAGTGCAATGCCTATCTTAACCACAGAAAATCAGTTGGCCTTTAGGCAATTAATGGATGATAGTAACCATAATATGATAGGAGTGTTAGTGCAAACTATGCAAGAGATCTTTGCCCCAATAGTACAAAATGTAATTGTGACAAATAGAGAAAACGCAGATAACATGAGTCGAATAACGAATTTCTTCGCTCCGCCAGAAAGGCGTAGACAGAACCAGGCAGTTGTTCGAGCAAACATACCTATCATAGAACAAATTACTAATGACCCACCCTATAGACCAGTCAGAGAGGGGGTTAATTTGGGGGCAAGAGCACAAAGGTTAGAAGCCCCAGTGATTCAAGACCCACAAAGGTAAATTATAGAACCATCGGCAAGGGTCGAAAGGTTAGAAGTCCCAGAGTTTCGAGAAGAACAACCTAGAGGAGTTGTCATGGTGGGTCGAAATCAAGATGCTGATGCAGTCGTTCACAGAATTCGAAACGATAACATCTTGGCAGAAAATAATTTAACCACCATGATAGAGAGAATCATGGCCCAAAATGGCCTCAATACAGGAATTAGAAGGCCAAATTATGCCTCTCCTATATTAGATTACATAATGCATACTGATTTACCAAGGGGATATAAAGTCCCTAAGTTTACAAAGTTTGCTGGAGATACCAATGAATCAACAGTCGAACACATAGCCAGGTATCTAACCGAAGCAGGAGATATAGCAAATAATGAAGACCTTAGGATCAAATATTTCCCAAGTTCCCTAACTAAGAACGCTTTCACATGGTTCACCACTTTGCCTCCTGGGTCCATAGATACTTGGGCTCTGTTGGAGAGATTATTCCATGAACAGTTCTACATGGGACAATATAAAATAAGTCTGAAGGAACTAGCCAGTGTCAAGAGGAAGTTTACTGAACCCATAGATGATTATCTGAATAGGTTCAGACTCTTGAAATCTAGATGCTTCATAGTAGTTCCTGAACATGAGTTAGTCGAAATGGCTGCTGGCGGCCTGGATTACTCTATTCGAAAGAAATTAGATACACAATACCTGAGGGACATGGCTCAGTTAGCCGATAGGGTTCGACAATTCGAAAGGCTAAAGGCCGAAAAGGCCCGAGTTTTTAAAAATAACAAGAAAGAAAGGGTCTCCTATGTTGGAGCTGAGGAAGCAGAAGATTACCCTGAATTCGAAGAGGTCGAAATTGATCTCGCTGAATTGAAACAGGCTCCACCTTACTCTTGTAAATTATTAGTTCCCACAAAAGGGAAAGTGTTGTACCCCAAAATTTGCCCTCCCATTTCCTCAACATTTTCTCATCACAAGACCCTTGAAGATCAAGATCCAGTTAGGGTTTCCTCTGCTCAAGAATTCTCCTTGCACTGTGGACTCAAATTAGGGTTTGTGATTGC